ACCTAAGAACATAGAAAATCTCCCACCACACGCGCGCGCGCACACACACATACTCACCCACCCCTCACACAGAAAACCAGGGTCCCTGTTCGCCCAGCGGGACGAACCCCCTCACCTGGGACGGCGCACCGGGCGGCGCATGCGCAAGGCCTGCTCCCCGCCCACCCCGCCTTTGGCCCCGCCCCGCGGCCTCATTACCATACCCTGAGCGCTTGCCGGGAGAGCTCCGGGGCTGCGGGCTGCAGTGCACAGTACACACCGCGTTGTTAATTTGCTTCCATTAGCCGTCACGATAACTATCTAATAGATGCTGTGAATATCTCATTTTACAGAGAAGGCCAAAAATTTATAGCCTGCTTACAGTCACACAGCTAGTAAGAGAAAAACAGATTTGAACCCAGGACACACTCAGAAGCTCTATAGTCCAAACCCCAAGTTGTGAATCTCAGGGGATCAGCCACATCAACATCAATGGGAGGCCCGCCAGAAATGCAGGATCTTCATGTCAGCCAGATCCTTAAACAATTTGTCTACATATTAAAATTCGAGGCTCCTTGGTTGTACCTCCCGCTAAGTAAGAAGAAGAGGAAAATGATGCCAAAGAGAAGAGAAGGAAATGGAGAGAAAAGAAATATAAAGGGTTACTGAGCTACATTTGCAACACAAAGCCAGGAATAGCCAAAACAGTCACATCTACCTTCATTGCAGTAAAGTCCTGCAGGGATGGCAAACCTTTTAGAGACCAAGTGCCAAACTGCAACCCAAAATCCATGTATTTATTACAAAGTGCCAACGGCAATGAAGCCTGAATACTGGGATTTTTGTATAGAAAAACAACTGTTCTCCTATGCTCGACTACTGGGACGACTTAGCTCCTGCCAGCCAGAGGGCTGTGCACTGTGGCACGCATGGCAAGGTTCGCCACCCCTCGAATGGGAGCTAAACTATGTCACAAAGAACTGATGTTGAAGCACTGGAGGCTTTAGAGGAGGTGTGAGAGATGGACCTGCCTTTGTCAGCTCAGGTAAAGGAGGCTCTAGGTAACATTTTGTGACAGCTCCAGTTTTCCTGTTCAACCCTGCACTATCCACCACCACCACCAATTTCAGCCCATGCAGTTCATTTGCACGACTATCAAAAACTGTGAAAAATGTTAATGCATAAGTTGTGCTTAAAGAATGTGTATCAGTCAAGATTACACACATCGGCACAGATCCAAGCCCCAAACAATCCCTTTCACTAAATCAGCTTTCCTGGTACTTCAAGGTTTTGGCTTTGTGCATTCTCTTGACTTCTTCTATCTGCTATTTTATAGGAGCCACCTCAGGCTTGAGCCTCTCTTCTACTCAATATTTCTTACTTGCAAACTTTTCTTGTAAGGTCTTTTCTGCATTGTTTCCTTTTATTTTATCTGTCATTATTTTTGCATTATTATTCCTTTTATTTTGACATTATTATTTCTGGTTTCTGTTTTGTATATGCACTAATCCTATTCACATGGGCTCTCTTAGATAATCAACTCCCAAAGACCCCACTTTCTAAAACCATCATCTTGGGGCTTGAGATTTCAATATATGAATTTTAGGGGGACATGAACATTTAGGCCATAAAAGGCTCTACTATATTTATTTGAACTACTAGGATATCTGTGCTAGAAAAACAAAGCAAGATGAAAATTTTATTAGAATGGTACAGATGAAAAAAGAATCTTAAAATTTGATAACAAAAAGGGAAATAATTGTAGAAATTTAGTCATTTCTGCTGAAGTAAAATTGTGAGCGAATTAAAGATAGGTTGTTATTTGGGATGAGAATTTCTCCATTCACACAAAATTTGACATCTTCCTATATATATCTTATACATTCTGGGCCCCATTATAGATTTCACAAACATGCTTTGAGATGGGATATTTGGCCACCAGGTTAGGACTGGAAAACTGGCGACTCTTACCAAGTTGGCTTGAGCAAAGAATAGGGCAGAGGGTGTTGGGGCATTGGGAAAAATACTGGTGACAGATTGTCAAAGTGATGCTGGTGTGGGGGGTGCAGCTCAGCGGCACCGCACCTACCTGGCAAGCACAAGGTCCTGAGTTTGATTCCTGGTACCAGAAAAACATACAAACCAAGTGGTGCTGATTCTCACTAGTGTCGAATGGAGGGACGCACAAGTAGCAGGTGTCAGGGCTATCATTCTACATATCAGAGGGGAGGAGGAAACCAAACCTGCCTCAGCCCCAACCCCAGGATGCAAACGTGTAGTTCAGGAGACCAGTCGATCTTTCTCCAAGTCTCCTCTCCCAAAGGGCCCTGTGGGGCAGTGCCTTCCTGATCCTATCCTGATTTGCTATACAAGCAGCATTCCCCTTGTTGCATCATGCCAGAGGCTCAGAAGCTGGCTAAAATCTCACTCTTCTAAAGTGACCTGTAGAGAACCAGATAACTCCATAATAAATATATAGATATAGAGACAATTGCAATCCTTTCTCCCATGCACACTGAAGAAAAAGGGCAGCTGCAATCCTCAAAGTAAAGCTCTTTCAGTTACCTGACAGGAGAGAGCACTGCTCCATTGCTTCTGGACATCTAAAGGCCGTGTTCCCAGGCAGGAGGGGATGAGGAGCTTGCTGGTGGTTGAGCCTTCCCTGCAGAAAACCACAGGACACAGAGAAGTAGAAAGCTGCAGGCACTGTCCCTGAAGCAGAGATGATGAGGGGTGGGCAGTACCCCTCCTCTGTAACTGCCAGGAGCTGGAACAGGGTGATCCTCTACCACCCTCAGGCAGTCCAGGACATGCTGCCCCAAAGCATGTGACTTGACATTTCAGAAAACAGCAGGTGTAACAAGGTCACTCTCATTTCCAGACCCCGTCCTTCTCCCTGAGGCAGGTCATAAAACCTAGCCTAGGGAGGAGTTTCTACCCTTCCACTGAAGAAAGTCCTAAAACCCTCATTAGAGAGGCACATTCCCTATACGCAGACACAAAGCATATCCTTATCTCTGAAGACACAGGATCACAGGGAACAATCCAAACAAGTAGGCCTGGTTTAGTTCCCTGTCTGTTTTTGTTTGTTTGTTTGTTTGTTTGTCTGTTAAAGACAGAGTCTCACTATATAATTCAGGCTGGCCTTAAACTCACTGTGTAGCCCAAGCTGGTCTTGAACTCTCAGAGATCCTCCTGACTCAGCCTCCCAATTTTGAGATTGCAGGCCTTCACCACCATGTCCAGCTCCCTATAAGTTTATTACCATTGGATTATACCCCTTTAGTCCAATTACAGTTCTCTGCAACTACTCACTATTCATCAAACAGCATAAAAAATATACAACTTTATCTATGTCTCTGAAGGTTCTCATTTCCTGATGATAGCTGCTAAATTGTGTAAAACTTATATTAAATAAATTAGTATGGTTTTCTCTTGTTAATTCATCTTTTGTCTTAGGGGCCTCAGCCATGAACCTCGGATGGCTGAGGACAAGATGTTTCTCCTCCTTTACAAAGGTCACAGTGCCACCAGATAAACCATCCTGGTCCCCAGATGCCTCCAGCTCCATTGCCCCCTGGACTCAAACCCTGCCTTCCTAGGGTTCCGCTTCTGCAGGATGGGCCCATTTTTAGCCAAGTCCCCAAAAGAAACAGCTTATACCCTCTTCCTATGTGAAGGAGTCCAAGGTAAATCCAACCATTAACTACACTGGGAAATAGCTCATCACTTAATAAAAAAGGAAAAAGTCCAGAAAGAAGCCTGCTACACAGAGAAGACAGTAGAACAGGAGAAGCTGACCTACCTGGCCATAAATCCAGCCGTGGGACCAACCAGGGCCTGTGAGCCCAATGCTGCAGGATCCCTTCTTTACTAACCCAACTTGGTTTCAATCACACTGGGCATTTTTTCTTGTATTCTCATTTTGGGAAATATAAATCTGTAGTCGAGAAAAAGAAAGGAGAAGAGGGAATTATTTTTTCAGTGCCAAGTAAGAGAACTTCCTGTGCAGATGTGTCTCGAGGCATGCTTGGAGCCCCAGGAGACAAAGTCAGGGAAGTACCTGGCCATCACCCCTAATGTGCATAAGATACAGAGAGCTCCATGGGAAGGTGGGGTGTCACATAACCCACCTGCACCTACAGGGCTGCTAGTGCCGAAACTTCATACTTTTCGGTTCTTTGGGGGCATTATTCCTGTGTTTTCCTTCATCATGCATGGCGGGCGGTTCAGGCTTGAGTAGGTAGAATTGCAGGTTGATGGGGTGAACTAAACCTGGGGAGACTAACAAGAATCGGAGCTCACATTACTGATCCCACAGAGGCTCCTAAATCCTCCCTCATTCACAGGCATTCATGTCACAACAGTAGCCGGACCATTGTCTTTTTTAAATGTTTTATTCACCAGGACACAAGCAAACAATAATCATGTTTGAATTAATGCTTTAAATTCTACCCTGTCTGAGGGAAACAAAGACTAAAATGAGCAATAATCCATTAAGCTGATTGGCAGGAGTCCAGCCCTGCTGCTCCTTTCTTTTTTGAGAAATTTTTAAATGCACCTTCCCAACTACAAGGAATATCATCCCATTATTATGTAAGGTAACAAGGAATTCAAGTAGGAGTGATGTGTGGAAATATAAAATATTAAGATATTCTGATTTTACCTTTCTTCAAAATGATTTATTAAAGGTAAATATTTGCAAATATAATCAAATTCAGGCACCTCTTCCTAGTTAGGAACCCCTCTGGTCACCTTCTCCCCCCTCTGTAAAATGGTGATAAAAAATCTGTTCTCTCTCAACCACTGCCTCCCTCAGAAAGCTACTGTCTGTTGACATCAAATTCCCTCAGTTCTAAGATGTGTGTTTCATATGTTCACATTTCTGAAATTGGAACTCACCTTATAGTCCATACATTTAATAATTGTGCTTCTCCCAAAATGCTGTTATTAAATAAAATGTTCTGGAACTCAGAAAATGTATTTCTCTAAAGATTTTAAGAATCCCTGTCTTCAGAAGGTAAGATTTTTTTTTCCCAGGGAAAGGTTTTGTGGCCTTGTATCACCTAGCAGGTAAAGAAATACAAAAGAATGTACCAGCACTAACAACTAAACCTCTGATCTCTGCAGTCTCCTGAGGTACTGAAGTTGCCTTTTCACCTGGTCTCAGTTGTCCTGCCTGCTTTCCAATAATCCCAGTTCCTCCAAGAGCTGACTAATTACTTTGCCTTTCTGGGCCTCAATCAACCCCCTGTAAAATGGTAATAAAGTGACACCAGTGTCATAGGTCTTTTAAAGCATTCATATAATCTTAGCGGTCCATGCAAGCCTCAATGACGCCAGCTACTCTATTAAGTCATAAGTGACTGTACAGGTAGGTAACTATGCATATCTACGTTAACATCTTAACTAGGTACTGTTAGTTTATCAAAGGGTAAATATAGTCAAATATAATGTTTTGGGGGGTTCAGGGGAAAATGGCAGATAAGGAGCTTTAGATGGAAAATAGAGTGAAAAGAAATAAAAGTGCAGCCTATGCTTATAGAAGTGTTACTTAGCAAGAGGTCAAGGAGAAAATTTTGTCCCAAAAAGCATACTAGCTAGGATATAGGTTACACTGGTACAACAGAGACTCTAACAAATCAGCAGCCCGAACAAGAGACAGTTGTACTCTTTCAAATATAATTCAGAAGGAAGTTTGTTACAGGTGTGGATCATGGGATGGGAGTTGGGGTGGAGGATCATGGGACAGGAAATCCAAAGGTCGCCCGGTGTCCTAATTTCCACTGTTTCATGGGTCTGCTATCAGCTGAAATGATATTTTATTTCTCCACACTGGCAAGTCTACCTCTCAAGCATCATGTCTGCTGGCCAGATGTGGGAAAAGGGATAGAGAAAAATTGGAAAAATATCAACTTCCTGTCTTAAAGAAGTGACCCAGAAGTTGGACACCTCACTAAGGCTCATTTCCCACTACCCCAGAGCCACACTAAGGTGCAAGGGAGGCAGGAATTACAACCCGACTTCCCCAAGGGGAAAGGAAAGATTGGCTGCTGGGGAGTCTGCTGCAGAGAGTGGCATCTGTCTTAAGACCTTGCCCAGCAGGGAGCTGAGCTCAGAGGGTTGAAGACACCAGTGTATGCAGTTTCCCCCACATAAAGCAGTTCTATGAACCACACAGTCCTACGGTGGAATAGGTAGCAAAGATACTTCTCAATATAATGAGCCAGTAAGTGACAGATCTGAGCTTGATGCCCAAGTTTGCCCCCAGATCAGGGTGCTTTTCCATCTCACTCTATTACCTTATAACCCCACAGTTTCCTCGTCATATTGTGCAGGATGTGTGTGGAGAGCCGCCAACCAAGAAGAAAACTGAAGCTTCACTTGTGAGTGGCTAATAGAAAAATCATAGGCCTGATTCAATTAAATATCTACTTGTTAGATATCTAATGTCTATTAATCTTCTATTAGGAGATTTTATTCTTACTTTTATCAGATGGGCTGCCTGAGAGGTAACACAATCCGCCCTGGAGGTGATATTCCAGCTTATTTTGCACCTGTGGCTTACCTTTTTTTTAAGAGAATGGTATGCGAAAGGTAATGAGGTGGATGAGCATTACATAATTTCTTTTTCATGTGAATGGGCGGAGCTTTTTATTCTAGCTCCTGAAGCACTCCATTAAAAGCAGCCCGTGCACCTGCACAACTCGAAGCCGATTCATTAGCCGTGCATCAGCATGGCTAAGTCCAAGTTTATTGAGTACATTGATGATGCTTTAGAAAAATCAAAGGCAACCGCACTTTCTCGCTTATTTTTCACCTATGAAGGGATTCCTTACCCAGTCACCATGTGTACCTCAGAAACTTTCCAAGCGCTGGACACTTTCGAAGCCAGAAGTGATGACATGGTGCTAGCGTCCTACCCAAAGTGTGGTAAATAACATCATTTCCTTTAAGCGTGCTTTTCCTGCTTCCTGGTTGGGGGAGGGTGCGAGATCAAATTGGGACAAAGGTGCCTCATCTCTGCATGACGCTAGCTGCAAATGAGTGAGAACCATGTCTGAAATGGTTAAGTAAACAGGCTGTAAAACAGACCGCTAGAAGTGCTAGAATGAAAGCCCCAGTGTCCGAAAGACACCTGTGTAGAAAGCGTAAGTGGAGGGTGGAGGACGGACGGAAATGGAAGAGGACCTGGAGAGTTGAAATGTGGAGTCAGGGAGTGCAGTTACCACAGAGCCTGAGAGCCGTGGAAATGTCCATCTTGCTCTTTGAAGACAAAAATGTGGCTTTTTCTATCATTGGTATGATGATTTCCACGTAATAGATTATGTTTTAGGATCAGACATCAATCCTCCAGTTTCTCAAGCCATTTTTACAAAGGTCTTTCATAAACAGAATAGAAGACGTTAAGAATCTAAATTATCCTATTTTACATTATCTACTTTTGACTTTTTTAAGTGTTGCTTACTGAAGCCAACTTCATTTAATATTTTCCTTTCTCATAACCAATTATATATATTGAAAACGCAATACAACACTTCTTGCAATTATTGACATACATAGATATAGATAGGATCAAAATCACGCACTCCGGGACTGTGGGTGCAGCTCAGTGATAGCACACCTCTCTACCATGCACAAGACCCTAGGCTGCATCTTTAATATCACCCCAGCAGAAAAAAAAAATGTATGCACTCCTGTCGAAAATATTCAACATAGCCATTAATCAAAGATAGTGTTATATAGGTGACCTTTAATTAAAAAAAAAAGAAAAACTTTCCAGAGCATACCATTGTTCAATAAGGAACATAGTCTAGATTCGGAAAGAAACATTACTTCTTGTTAATGGAGGCAACTTGAGAAATAAAGTAACTGAAATTTTAAGGTAAATTGGCTTTTACACTAATGTTTAAGTAAACCCTGAACTGGGGAATGTAGCCCTGGGGGAGTGGGGTAAAGTGCTTGCGGGCTTGTGTTAGGCTCCGCGTTTGTTCCCTAACACTGCCCTACCCCCAAAGTAAATATTATTTAGTGCAAAACTGTTTCTTTCCATAGCTCAGCTATTTCAAACACAGAATAACTAAGTGTGCATATCAAGGATGGTTGTAGCTTTTTCATTATGTACATGCTAGAGTAATGTGCTTTTGTTATTCAAACTAATGAGCTTTTATTTTTCTGTTTTTTCTTATAGGTTCAAATTGGATTCTCCACATTGTCAGTGAATTAATATTTACTGTTTCCAGAAAAAGATATGAATACCCAGAATTCCCAGTTCTTGAATGTGGAGACTCCAGAAAATATGAGGTTAGCACAAACAGCCTTTAAAGTTACAGCAAATTACCAGAGAAAGATTTCTTCTGTTTCAGATTCTTTAGTGTGAAGTTCAGAAAGTGTGATAGTTATAATTATTGCAATTTGATATGTGCGTACCTTATCCTCTGTATTTTCAGGTATTAACATATTTCTATCATAAAACTATTCCAAAAGAAAAAAAATTTTTTTTTTTTTGTACTAGAGATCAAACTCTTTGTTCTTGGAAGGCAGGCAGTAGAACCACTGAGATAAATCCCCAGCCTCTCCCAAAAGAAAATTTAAAGACTTGCCCAAGGTGAAGTGCCAGCTAAATTTGAACCCAAGCTTTCTGATTTGAGCTCTTAAAACTACGCTGTATAATCATTCTTGTTCTTCCTTTCTAAGTAGGGTAGAAAGTAAGCTGAACAATCTCAAAAAAAGTGAAGTGAAACAAAACAAAACAAAACAGCTTTATCTCTGAAGAGACATGGGAGGAACGCTAGCAGGACTGCCCTTTCCTAATGAGTCATTTTTTTCTATGTTTATTTGTATTAGCACGTGTTCACAGTGCAGAAGGATTGCATTCGTCATGGGGAGTTGGCCTGTGTAAATAACTCGTCTTAATTCCTTTTTACATCCCCATTATTTTTTATTTCCCTGTTCCACGTATGACTTTGGCGTGTGTGAAGGGCAAGTAAGGACCAAATCGATAGTAACTAAGAAACCAAGTCACTGATGAGTGTGAAAATATGAACAGGTAACCCTACTTGTTATTATTCACTTTACCATAGGTTATTGCCCTCCTGATAGAACTATCTGGGACTTGTGCGTGATACAGAATCTTCTGCTTCAGAGACAACAATAAAGGGGTAGGAGGGAGGATCTGACCCAGGGCCTTAGTGCTTAGATGGAACAGGAAGGAGGAGGAACACACGCGCGTGCATGCACACACACACACACACACACAGACAAATGCAGTGAGAAGGGAGGTCTCCATTTGGGGGCCACCTCTCCATAAAGCTTTCAGAAGTGTTCACACCAGCACTCCCAACTGGCAGATGGAACTCAGGTACTGTGAAAGAAGCCACTGGATTGGGACTTAAGAGACAGCTTCTGGAAAATGACTATGACAGTTGCCCTGATGAAAAATACAAATATAACAGTTAGAACCCAGGTGGAAGGAAGCCCATCTCCGTGGATGGGGCCAAAGTAGCAGAAAACACATTGTGAGATATTCAGACACTTGGTGGCCGGATAGGGGAAAGCAACCACTGAATCCTGGATCTGGTTGGCAACAAAGGACTCTTGGGAGATATCAGAAGGGCCAGAACCCACGTCAGCACCTTGGGTTCCACACTTGGGAAGACCATCTGGGCCTAAGCACACCTAAGGGAGGCTGAGTCAGGACAGTCTCACGCATGCATGTAGGATTGGTGGCTGGGACTTTTAAAAAGCCTCTCCTTAGGTGAGAAATTTCTCCTAAGAAAAGTGCTAACATCACCTTCAGAAATGATGCTAACATTTGTCCAGCCTCCCAATCCCTCTTTTAAAAACTCATTATATCACAGGTCATGGGTCCTTTTACTTGTTATTTACATTTCTGATGTAATCTTTCTTATTGTACAGCATTTGCCTTTTCATTGTCTATCATTTATCACTGAAACATAGTTTGGGATGCTGACAGTAAGTTTTCTCATTATTTACGGGATGGTATCTCCAGAAAAGTCTATTTTGATTTCCAGACGAGTTATCTCAAAAAATACTTTGCAACATAAGCCATTTGTAATAAGGAATGTCCTGCTGTCAAACTCCGAACCTTGAGCTTGTGAGGCAGGTGGAGGCACCACTGAGCTAGATCCCTGGCCCTAGTTTTTATTCTTGATCAAGATTTTGACATGCCAAGACTTACCCGGTACCCACATAGTATCCTTGGAACCTCTCTCCTCTTGGAAAACTTGGCATTACTGTTCCTAAACCAGGGTTCTTATACACAGCAAAGCATTGCTTCTGTCTTCCCATCCTTGCAGTCTAAACCTTAGCTTTAATTATGAAAGGCAAAGTTGTACTTCCTGTTAGAGGAATTTCTTAGTTTTAGTAAAAAGATCTAAGTAACTTTCAAAGCCAAGGAACTCTCCCAGAAACACCTAAATTAACTTTAAAATTTTGGACAAGGTGAATGAGGCACAAATTCTTAGTTCCAGGGTTTCTGGGTAGATGCCTCAGTCCATATAATATTTTGGGTTTGAAATCCACAACTTATCAGAAACGTTCATTTTTTTTCACCTATTTTAAAGTCTTCTTTTTGTATTTTAGTTGTAATTTCATTACATCTAGGAACAAAGATACTTTTCTATGTAATGTGCCTTTTATTTTAAAAATAGCAATGCAGTTTACAGAAAACTTTTCTAGAATGCACATATTTTCTATAAACATGGTATAGTAGTTGGTCTTTACATTGTTTGCAGTTGGCTATCATATATTTTCAAGAAGATAGAATTACGTATTTAGTTTCATGACAATTAACTTCTACTTTCCCTTGGATTTTTTAAAATCCTTTTAGTAACTTTGCTATTTCTCATGTGTCATTATATGATTTTGGGCCATGCCGTTTAGTAGAAACAGTACTCTCTACCTTAATCTGAAAATTACCACCTGTGTCAGTTTGTAAAAAGCATTTAAAACCTCAAAGCCTATTCTTAATCTCTAAAATGGGGTTCTGTTATTTTCCTGAAAGGATCATTGTGAATGAATGTAAAAGTACTTCAAATACTAAAAAGTATAATTTGAAATAAGTCACTACTAATTACCAGTTGGACCCATATTATTGATTTAAACTGCTCTTTGTTCTTTAAGTTCCATTTTTAACCCCTTTCTTGAGTGGAGATCGCCAGTATGTTTTTATGAAACAATTGGTTATAGATGCTTAAATATCATTTTATCACTTGAAATGAATGTGTTGTAGCTGTGACTAAGTACTTGACACCTCTACAAATATGAAATTGAAAACTGTGAATCCTTAGTTTCCCACATAACATATTCTTTTTTTTTTTCTTTTATTGAGTTTATTGGTACAATCTAGGTATGCAATACAATTACATTCATCATTGGGATTCTGTACCTTTACATAATAGGTCTTGATTCTCATTTTTTCCCCTTGTCCCTGCTCTCCCTTCACCCCCTCCTCCCCTCTCCATTTACAAACACTTTATTTCCATTTCTTCAGTTTCTCAAATGTTTTTTCCTCTTCCTTATTACCTTTCCCCCCCCTTCCCACTTTCCCTACACCTTTAGCCCTTTACTTCCTATTTCACATTATTAATTATCTCATTAGGATCCTGTGTACTATTATAGTTTTTCACACCAAAGAAACTATTCGGTATTTCAGTTAAAGAAATCTCTGTATGAAGATTAAAAATAGGGAATCCTAAATTAAAACTAAAAAGGAAATTAAAGAG